CCCGGGGGACTCAGCGCAGCACCCGGGGGACTCAGCACGGGGCGCGGGGACTCAGCACAGCACCCGGGGACTCAGCACAGCACCCGGGGGACTCAGCACAGCACCCGGGGACTCAGCACAGCACCCGGGGGGACTCAGCGCAGCACCCGGGGACTCAGCACAGCACCCGGGGACTCAGCACAGCACCCGGGGACTCAGCCCAGCACCCGGGGACTCAGCACGGCACCCGGGGGACTCAGCACAGCACCCGGGGACTCAGCACAGCACCCGGGGACTCAGCACAGCACCCGGGGACTCAGCGCGGGGCCGGGGGACTCAGCACAGCACCCGGGGGACTCAGCACAGCACCCGGGGACTCAGCACGGCACCCGGGGGACTCGGTCACCAGCACCCGGGGGACTCGGTCACCAGCACCCGGGGACTCAGCACAGCACCCGGGGACTCAGCGCAGCACCCGGGGACTCAGAACCCAGGAGGACTCAGCACCCAGCACTCGGGGACTCAGCACCCAGCACCCCGCCCCTGACCCCGCCCCCCCCCCGGGCCTCACCGCCGACGTCGCACACGACCCGGAAGGGCGAGAGGTCAAAGGCCGTGAGGACGCGGGGGCCGCACACGCGCCAGGTGTCCTGCAGGGCGCGCATGAAGGGCGGGGCCCTGGGGGCGGGGCCGGGGGGCGGGGTCAGGGTCGGGGTCAGGGAAGGGGGCGGGGTCAGGGTGGGCGTGGTCAGGCCTGGGCTGATTGACTGGACTCTGGGCCGGGTTGGAGTCATGGGTTGGCTGGGGCTGAGGTGGGCGGGGCTCCCGGGGTGGGCGTGGCCTCCCTCGGCTGTGGGCGGGGCTTCAGGAACCAGGCGGAGCTCCCTGGAGTGGGCGGGGCTCCCCGGGAGCAGTGGGCGGGGTCACTGGGCCGTGGGTCTGGGAGAGTGGGCGGGGCTAAGGGAGTGGGCGGAGCTAAGGGTGTGGGCGGGGCTAACTGGGGTCGGCCAGGGTCACTGAGGTCTGTGAATCCCCGGGTGGGCGTGGCTAAATGGAGTGGGCGTGGCTAAAAGGCCCGGGGATCAGGTGGGCGGGGCTACTTGGGTGGGCGGGGCTGCTGGGAAAACTGACAGGGACTGGCGGGGC